AGGACTAAAGTGGACTCAAGACACTAAAAACTAAGCAACATGAACCAGGACAACCAGGAACTATGCACTAGAATTAAGACAGGAACACGAAGGGAGAAAACTCAGCACGGTGAGAGCACAACGCGACCAGAAACAGAGAGAAACACAGGGCATAAAACGCAAGCAGGACAATGAGAGGAAGGAGAACAGGTGGAAACACAGTTACACGGGAAAGACGAGACTATCAAAATAAAACAGGAAGCACATGTCAGGCACAGCAGCACGGACTACACAGTGAACAGAGGGAACACAGAGCACAGGGACAAGAGTAACAAACTGCAAACCTACACTAAACATGACGGGCACAGGAACCAAAACCTAAGAACTAGCAATCACAAGACAAAAAGGAACTAGAAAGCGAGAAGTACAGAACAGAAACCAAAACACTAGCAGTCATCAACCATGATGACATCAAAGCTCAATAAGAGTACAAAACTGAAAACACTGGGTCACCCTGACAAATTTAAAAGTTGATTCACTTCAATTTAGTTTTATTTTCTATAATCCATTCCTGCAGAAAGAATAAATCAGGAGTTGACATCTCAGATTTGGGAAAGGAATGTTTATTTTACTTGATCAGATTCTAAAACACTTCTAAAATATTTCTCCAGATTCCAGATCCTTTGATGATGAGTCTTTACAATTTCTGCAATTTTCCACAAATTGTACATTTTTGCATATTGATCAACCTTTGTCTATTGTTACTTCTGAGAAACTCTGTCTTTCTAAAATGCTCTTTTTATACCCAATAATCTTGCAGAATTTATATTTTTCAAATTCTAAAAAGCCTTTTAAATAAAGTGAAGTGGAACAATTTTGTGTTTTTCAAAATTTAGATGAAAATCCTGGACAGGTCAGTGTAGGTTAGTAGGGATGTCATGGACCCCCCCCAACCCCAAAACGAAAACCAAAAGCAAAAGCAAAAAACCAAACTGCAAAAAACCAAACTGCACACCATGTAGTTCAGCTGCACACACAATTCAGCTGCACACACAATTCTGTTTTACACGGTGGTGTTACACGGTGGAATAGTTTGTCATAAAGCAGATGGACTTCTCCTGTTGAACAATCCTGCTTCCACTTGAAATGTCATATAAAACTCTGATGGTAAAGAGATTTATC